ATAAAGCCTGCTGCAGACATTAGGTTAGGTTTAGGTTTAGATTAGGATCGACTAGGAAGAGGGAAACAAATATTCGTCGGAAAGAGAAGCACAGAGACAAAAAAGATCAGGCAATCAGACAGGTAATGATAAAGGAAGAATCAGGCGAAGGGATCGATTTTCTTTGTTCGATTCAATACCATCGAAAGAGCTCTTTTCCGCTTCTTCCCTCCCCCTTTTTTTAAGAGTATTAAACCCTTCGCTGGCCGATGCGAGAAGCGAGTACATTCATCTCGTTGCACAATGCAGGCTTTAAAAAAAATTGTCAAGCTCGAAATTCATCAATCGCATCTTACGAATTCCGAAGGCATTCCCAGGGCAAGCTTTGGCACCACTTTCTTTTAAAAGACGAATAAGAAACAGGCGTTATTCAGCCGAGGGACATTGACAAATAAGTTGTCCGAAACGCGCCTGCTTTGACGCAACACCTGAAAAATCGGAGGATTAGTAACTCCCACGAGAATTTCAAACGTTTTTTTTTTTTCTTTTTCATGTCCTTTCAGGACTCTAACTTTTTTTTTTCGTTATACGTATGTCGTTGCATGTATATGTGTGTTACACACAGGTGTATCTATCTAGGTAGATGTGTGAAAATTAAAGAATTCAATGTAAGAACTTGAATCGAAATCTATCTATCCACGAATACGTGCGTGCTTGTGCGTATCGATGAAACAAATATCAAGTTAGCCAAAAAAATACGTTCGTTGCAAAGCGAATTTTCCACGAGAAACAGAAACTTTATCGGACAATATGTTTCGCCGTCTTTCAACTTTACTCAAAAAAGCTCTCGTCTCTTTTTCGATTAATTTTGTACGATCATGCGTTTCCCCATTTTCGAAATCGACACCGTGCATTTTCTTTTTCTAAAACGAGAAAGCCTCACTGCGAACTTGCGGTTAAAAATGAAGTTGATTACACTTTGAGATAAGTTTATCTATTAAAAAAAAAAAAAAAAAAAAAAAAAAAAAATGGCCAATATTAGAGAAGAAATGATTGAAATTATAGATAGACCTACTCGCGCAATTTTCTACCGATTGAATGTTGAATGTTTTGGATAAAGAGGAAGAGAAAGGGAGGATATTGGGACGATATCTACTTAAACTGTGTGAAAAATGTAAAACGCTCTATTCAACGCACAATGACAATCGAAAATACCGAGAAGCGAGAAGGATGGAAAGTTTCTTCTGTAACGTAATTTCCGAACCGATTCGGAACTAATCGCGGCCTGCTACCGGAATTTTCTGCCACTGACGACCGAATAACCCGAATACTTTACGGACGTCTAGTTTTCCCATTATTTTCTCCCCCGATGCTGCTTCTTCTTCTTCTTCTTCTTCTTCT